GTGGCCACAGATCAGGGACGAGGGAGCCAGTGACAAAACTCCGCCGCACAATGCTCAGCATCGTCATTGCGCCAGTCTGCCAGTGTCAATACATAAATGAAGAGAATGATCGAACCCGCGAGTTTGGCAACGATTTCTTAGTTCGAAAGGCAGCAATGGTGGCGAATTAATTAAAGAAATCGGATGGCAGCTCCTTGAATCGAACCGAAAACTCAATCGAATGTCAAATAGCACCGAAGTGTGACCTCTGACCTTGGGTTCGTTTCGCCAGCGCTCGGGTGCACGTGGGTCAGTGACCCGACTCGGTCAGGTTGGGGGGACTGCCTGGAACGGGTCAGTGGGAGGGGGATGGCTGCCTGGGGCGGGTCAGGGGGAGGGGGATAGCTGCCTGGGGCGGGTCAGGGGGGATGGCTGCCTGGAGCAGGTCGGGGGGATGGCTGCCTGGAGCGGGCCAGTGGTGCCTGGAGCGGGTACTGTTCGCCCCCTGTGCCGGTACCCCCGGTCGGCCGAGCTAGGCCGGCGGCCGCTGCTGTTGGACTTGGCACCCACTGCAGCAGCGAATTGCTGCACCCCCGTCTGGCGGATACGCGGCACTAATTCGTGGATGAGCGGCAATAATCGGAATAAGAAATAATGCACCACACATCGGCAGGAGCTTATCACACCATAGGAGGAATACACCACACTTAACCCTATTCCTGGCGGGCTCCGCCGGGACAAGAGACTGGCGGGGGGGGGGGCGATTCGCCCCCCCCCTGAGATCTCGAGAACGAAGCAAGATAGCGACAAACGGTAAACGGCATCGGATACGCACGGTCAAGATCTACAATTTTTACTAAGGTCATTTTCAGGTCAGGTCAAAGATGACGTCACAGGGGTCGAAAAAGTCAAAATGGCGGCGCTAGATATGGAGAGAGTTTTTCTCGAATAACTTTCGAATTAGTCAAGATAGGAACAAACTAAGGGCATCATCGTGATCCTCTCGTCAATCCGCATCGAATGATATATATATGTTGACCTCGCAAGGTCAAGGTCAAAGGTTGACCTCAGGTCACGTGACCTCGAGGTCATCATGTATATCATTCGATGCATCTTGACGAGCTGAACACAATGAGACCATCCACGCGTCTGTATCTTGTTCCTGTACGGAGTTATTGGCCAAAAACCTTTGGTGACCTTTGATGACGTCACATGACCTCACAGCTGCCCAACAGCAAAACAGACCTCAAGGTAGTGAAGGTTGATCGTATATGAAGTCATGTATGGTATATGGGGCCATTCCGACCCGTTTTAGTGGTAAAAACAGGGAGTTGATTTTTCCCCCATTGACTTATAATGGGGAGGTCGCGAAACTGACCTGACCTTAGGTCACCGATATCAAAATTCCGAGATAAACAAATTGCACATACTGGTACCCTAACTAAAGCCTGAAGAGAAGAAATTGATCGGTCAAAAACTCTAGCTCTGGCGTGATTGCAAACTTTTCTGAGGTAGGGTCACCAAACCGCCTCTGGTGACCTGACCTGAGGTCAGATCAACTCAAAATTTTCAGACATGTTGCGTAGAAGCCTTTTAGGAAAAGTCAGAAAATTTGAGCTTCCTAGCTCAACGCGTTTGGGAGAAATAACCAAAAAACCTCAGGGGGGGGGGGCTCCTGAGGCCCCCCCCCCGCCAGGAATAGGGTTAAACCCACCGACAGTTAACATCAGCAGAAATACATCACATCTTGGCAGATAATCTGACAAACTGAAAGAGTAAGAAACATTACAGCGAACATTCGCCACAGCCACAGGTAGCCGCAGCCACATCATTACGGTGTCATTCCGCAATTCCTTTTTATTACGGAGTCACTCAAAACTTTTTTACTACCTCCTGGAGAGTTCATTTTCATCAAACCCGCAAGATAATAGTATATTGAAAGGGTAACTCGCTGCTACCATTATGTGCATAGTAACGGTACGTGGTTAATATGAACTTATTCGCCAGCGAAGAGTATTATTACCATGTAAATATCAATTCAATATTACTCTCGCGATCCAGAACATCACGAAAACTCTTTCCTCCTGGGTATCGTGACTCGGGTACAGATAGTCATTTCATGCGTGGATCTTGTTTACCCTCGTGAAGATGATATTTGAAATGGAAACAATCAGCCAATCAGAAACGAGATCGGCCGTTTGCGGTTTGAAGGCCGCGCGCATCTGTCAGTTTTCGGCCGTTGGTCTCCGAGAGAGGATGTGAGCAGTGTCGGTGCCGCGCGGCGTGGCCGTTGGTGATTGTGCTTGTGTGTTGTTCATCGCCTATAGAGCCTCTGTGGACATTTTATTGTAAGTACCGATGTGCTAGCCCTCGCCCGCACATGCCATTTTCCCATCCTAGAACGCACATGGGGGGGGGGGTGGTTGCCACCCCCCCCCCCCGCGCCATTTCGTTCCTGTTGGAGATAGAGCTTAGCAGTAAAGACCAAAAAGATTCTTTGGGAAGAGACGAATCCAATGATATCCAGTTTTACCTTCTCAGGTCAGTCATTGACCTTCCAGGTCAGGTCAAACTAAAAAATGTTGCTGTTTTGGGTCACCGTTGGATATCAAGTGTGCTGCTTATCAAATACCGATGACGATGCTGTTTTCTGGTGCCAAGCCAGCTAGAACCTCTTTGTCACACTACCCGACCAGAAGTTTGCTGCTGAGGTCATTTCAGGTCAAGTTAGGTCAAGGTCAATTATATGTGTTTGTATGTCTGTGTGTGTCTGTGTGTGTACTGATGTGTGCACCGATTGTTTTTGGGTCCATATTACATGAAATCATGATCTGAGAAGCTTTTACCCAAAATGCCGTCAAAAAACTTCAAAAAAGTAAATTCAGCTTGCCTAAAACGCAATTATCTTAGGTGACCTAGGTTGACCTTGACCCTGACCTTGACCCCTGTACATCGTCAAAGAACATGTTCCATGATAGGTAGGAGGTAAGACTGGCAAAAAAGGCCGAAATCAGGGTGTCAAAAGCTCATAAGGCCCATGGCAAACGCAAGATGTTGAGAATTGGCCATTTGGGTCATGACATGACCTGAAAAACAAGGTCATATCTCCGAAACCAAAAATCACAGAAACTTGAAATTGTCAGTGGACATCAAGAAAGGATAGAGAAGCAGCTATACGAAAAATCAGCCTTCTAGCTCTAAAAATGTTGAGTGCAGAGCAGAAAGACTACCTGGGGGGGGTGGCAACCACCCCCCCCCCCATGTGCGGGCGAGGGCTAGAGCATTGCGTGCCGTTGAGTGGTGCTAATTTGACCTGGTTAACAGGACCCCGTGCACGGCCACGTGGCCTAGTGTTGTGAGTACGTACATTAATTTTGTTGTGATGCTAAAAGTTAATGCATTTTGTTGGTGACTTTGAAAAAGCCTTGCACTGTAGTGATCCAGTCTCATTATCTCACGCAGACGGGCGACCACCCAGGAACGCCGTCGCTCACTTCAAATATTGTGCGCTCTGCCTAATCCAATATGAGGGCGCTGAATGTCTTGTATTCATATTCAAATTGCATTCAAGTTGTATCGTGGTGTTTATTTACCGCATGTGCATTGCTGAACGCTTTGTATAAATTTGTATGAATAAGTGAAGAGTCTCACAATGTTCATGGTTGGTGTGCCCCTCGTATTGTTTGTACGGAAGCCAAATATACCTACATTATTGCTCTTGAAACATTTTTTTTAGTTGGTGAGCTCCGGTTAACAGAAGCTTCGTGAAGCTTCTGAAGGAAGCGTCTGTGGGTCTGTTACCATCCTCTGGGGGGTTTACACTAAAGGAAAGAGTAAACATTATCATGTGACAAAGGGTAGGCCATAAGAATATACTCTTTGTAGGAGGGTAAAGCACAGAGTAGATGATGCGTTACTCCCTAAAAAAGGGTTCCGTTAAAGATTTACCCTTTCAAAGAGTGTAACCCAAAAAATGTTACACTCTAGACAAGAGTAAATCAAAAGAGTTTACCATTCAGAAGATGGTAAAAAACGTCTGTGTGTCATGTTACCCCTCCCTGGCGAGTTTACTCTTCATGAAAGAGTAAAATTTACCATCTGGAAGGTGGTAAAAAACGTCTGTGTGTCAAGCTACCATGCTATGGCGGGTTTACCCTTCAGGAAATGGTAAAAAAGTTTTCAGTATACTAGTTACTGAATGGGTGATGATATTTTCGTACAAAGATAACTATCTTCGTATAAGAACGGACACCTTTCACGCATGAATGGTGTTGGATTATCAATAAAGCGTTTGATTATCACATGGAGCATGCGATTTGGTGCAGACGGAAGAGAATAGGGGATTGCCTGGCGCCCGGGGGTCGGGGGAGTGGGAGCCGAGGGAACCTGCAGCCTCAGACGGGTGACAGTTATTGGTCGAGCTATCATATCCCTCCTAGCCGCGGGAATGTTTGGAAAATGCCGAGAAATCGTGTTGTTGTGGGCAGAGGACCCGATAGACTGGATGGTAGAGGACCCGATAGCACGCCCGGCAACACCAGCAGACAGCAGTGGGTCAGAAATAAACTGTCATAAATCACCAGGTTATAAACTGTCACGGAGTAACATCCACAAATGTCCATAAGTAAAAAGAGAACAGCTGGCTGCGCTCAGCACACACATGTCCCGGGGCAGCGCTCAGCACACACACATGTCCCGGGGCAGCGCTCAGCACACACATGTCCCGGGGCTGCCGCCTCGCTCACAGCAAAAGGCTGCGTCTCAGGGAATCAGCGGTGTGAGCCTATGTCTCAGTCAAGGAAGCAGTGTGAGTTTTGTGTTAGTGTTTCAGTCAGTGCTGTGAGCCTATGTCTCAGTCAAGGAAGCAGTGTGAGTTTTGTGTTAGTGTTTCAGTCAGTCGGTGTTTTTGTGAACCACTCAATGAGTCACTGTGTTACTGAGTCACTCAGTGAGCAGTGAGTGAGTCACAGACTCACTGAGTCGGTCTATGAGTCACTGAGTCTGTCAGTGAGTGGGCTCACTTGAAGTCGGCGAAGTCGGCGGCCTGGTTCCAGGCGGCCTGCGTGAACTCCTTGTGTCCGGCGATCTGGCTGGTGACGACGAACAGCCGGTGCCAGTTGTAGCGCACCAGGATGGACAACATGGCGCCCACCTGCTGCTGAATGGTGGGCGCCATCTGCAGCTGCAGCGGCGACTGGGCGCCCGACTGCCGGCACGCGCGGAGTGACTGTCACTGGACTGCCGGCACGAGCAGTGACCGTCACTGGACTGCCGGCACGTGCGCACGGACCGTCACTGGACTGGGAGTACATACAGACAGCCCCAGTCTCAGGGCACAGGGGCAGACGTCGCCAGCCGCTGGACGCGACTGAGTGACGGCGGATGGCGGCAAACTCAGACGGAGTCAACATCACTTCATTACAGCACGTCAATGACACGTCAGCATAACTGTAATGGCCCATGTTTTCCAGCAAAACACACGATTTGTTTGAGACGTTAAGCAATAGCAAAGGATCATCGTAGGCTGTTTACTACTTAAATATCAGCAGAGTGTTCAGCTTCTTGTCACACTAGATGCAAATAACAGTTGCTGACGCAGATTCGATAGGTAACATCAGCCGTAACAGTGACGTAATAAGTGCGTCACGCTGGAAAGTGCCACACGCGCGGGGATGGTTAATGATTTCGCGGGACATAGGCCGCTGTTAATTTTCCAGCCGATGCCCAGGGCCAAGGGTGAGAACCACACGTGACACGACTGGCATCTCTGCTAGCTATTCCAACAGACCAGGCATAAGGTAATTTAAAAGCAACATTTTTGGTTCATACCTTCGTCTTTTTAATTGAGCAATCCTCTTCCTCAGTCCTAACAGATTCTGAAATGCTCCGAAATCAATAAATATTGTTCTTACCCATACTTCTGCAATATTGTCAGGGAACTCAGATTTCTTTTTTCAATAGAGAAACACAATTTTAACAAATAGTGATAACTATTGACAGCAAACATTCGGTTTTTTCCCTAATCAATACTGTTTTGGGCATATATCCGTGGATTAAGTATCTTAACTATTTAGCTCGGATTTCCAACAGGCATTTAAAATTGGTATCGTTGTTGCCTTGTAAAATGTTAGATTGCTTTGGCTTCGAATACAATTTTCACTTTCTATGTTATTGCATTTAAAATAAGAATCGTGAGGACAAAAATTAAAATGTATGCTTGATTGCTAGTCAAATAACAGTATTCGGACAACAGCGTCATCATCTTAGTAGGTACAGCCCACCGCTAAAGTAATGTAGGGTTTTACCAATCTCAACGGTTGGCTTTGACTGGCGATTGTTTAATGCGGAGTGATCGAAAAGAAGATGTTAATAGCTAAAGTTGCAGCTGCAAGGGTGACGATACATATAAGCTACATTCAAAGTTTCACTGTAGTCTGGCTAATCGTTCCTAAGCTTCAGAAGCAGAACATACCCATGACTGAAACCCCACATTACTTCTGCTGTGGACTGTACATAAGCGACTGAGTAAATACACAAAGAGCATGCTTCTGTTACTTAAAGAAACGTGCAGGAAAATTTGGCAGAAGGAGTTCCATATCTACTTCACCGAATCTCCAAAAAGGTTGCGGTAAAAGCGCCTCCAAAAGCTCGACTTTTGTGCTGTATGTCGTTTTAGCATTCCTGGTTATGCACAAAAAACAATTTGATTTGGAAATACGCCGTCCGCAAGCTTTTTGGCATAGACTGCAGCTGTTTATGCCCAGGCCGTATACGAGCGTTTGAAAACGCGGGTGCCTGATGGCCATGTTGATGGAAAAAAAAGTTAGAAAATAAAATAATTGGTATCATGCATGTGATCGATAGTCATCAAAACTACAAACTGTATGAACAAAACTAAGGGCAGTTTATTCCCCTTACCTGTTCCTGAATTGAGCGGCAAACGTGACCAAATTGATCAGAATCAATGCCTTTGGATCGGATCTTTTCGGTCATCGACTTTATTTCAAAATGATGCATATAGTTATTTGTGATCACATTATCAATTATGTAGCGTAATGCTTCTGTATTTATGTTGAAACCTAAAAAGTTAATCTCCAAATGTCTTAGCTTATTCCCAAGACTTTATTATGCAGCTGGCATTGCGCATTGCGCAACAAAAACAATATCTCTATCTCTACATAGCAATCGCGTAAGGCAAGCACAACAATAATTTTGTTATTTGTTGAATGTTGATGCCGTTTTATCGTTGGATACAACTTTATAAATCAGTTTGTCGTTTTGGACTCAACACATCAGTAGGCTAATGACAGCGATCTCTTTTCCCCAAGCTGCGTACATTTACCAGTAGGTACAGACACGGTATTGGTGCATCCATCAGCGGCAGTTCCTTGGCGACGTATGCAATGTCCCACCAATCACCATTTGTAAATCCGACCACTCCTCCCATTTCGATCATTCCTTACCTTCTAAAAAAATGCCATAGCGCTCCAGCCTCCGGGACGCTTCCTGCGAGCAGTGCCTGCCCCGTCTCACCGCACCCGTCGTGTACCCGCCCCGTACCCCCCCCCCCCCCTGCCGTACCGCCCCCCCCCCTCCCCCGCCGTACCTCCCCCCCTCCCCGCCGTACCGCCCGCCCCCTAGGCATCTGCGGCGCGTGGTCCGTGGTCCGTGGTCCATGGTCCGTGGTCCGTGGTCCGTACCCGTTCGAGTCCGCTGTTGTCGGCGTTCCAGCAGATGACAGGCAGGCCCAGGTAGCCGGCCAGCTGGATGAAGTACTGGCTGGAGGCCGTGCTCCGGCCGTACCGCTCCGAGTTGGTCAGGTAGAAAATGGCCGTCACGTTGTTCGGCAGGAACTTGTCACACAGCGTCTCCAGAATCGCTGAAACCAGAACACAGACTGCTGAAACCAGAACACAGACTGCTGAAACCAGAACACAGACTGCTGAAACCAGAACACAGACTGCTGAAACCAGAACACAGAATGTTGAAACGAGAACATAGACTGCTGAAACGAGAACACAGACTGCTGTAACAGAGACCACACACTGCTTAAACGAGAACACAGACTGCTGAAACGAGAATACAGACTGCTGTAACAGAGACCACACACTGCTTAAACGAGAACACGGACTGCTGTGACAGAGGCCACAGACTGCTGTGACAGAGACCACAGACTGCTGTGACAGAGACCACAGACTGCTGAAACAGAGAGAACAGACTGCTGTGACAGAGGCTACAGACTGATGTGACAGACACTGCTGTGACAAAAACTGATATGAAGGAGACCAGAGACTGTTCTGACAGAGACCACAGACTGTTGTGACAGAGACCACAGACTGCTGTAACATAGGCTACAGACTGCTGTAACAGAGACCACAGACTGTTCTGAGTTCTGACAGGGACCGCCGCCAGTGACGTCACCAGTTACGAGTTCCGGTGGGACTGTCAGTGGACGGCTCCGCGCCGCGCCGCTCTACTATAATCGGACCGCAGATGGAGCGACGGCCGGACACTGGCCGCTGAGGGCGGTCCCGCGCCTCTCATAACGCCGCCGACACACCAACACGGCCCCAACGGCGTCTAATTATTATGGAATGCGGCGGGACGTCGGTCGGACTGATACAGTTCGTTTCCCCCGAGTGGGCCGCACGTACCGCCCCGGGCCGGCCGATCTCCGGCCGGCCCAGCCGGGCATGAAATTGAGCGACATTTGCATCCAGTCACGGAAGGCCGAGCCAAAGGAGGCGGTATATCGAGTCAGAGGCGGGCGCGCCGCCGCCGGCCGGACGTCAATACGGTGTCCGAAATAGACCTCTGAAACAACACGCCCTATTGACAGGACTCTTGATTGCATCATCTGTCGCGTACATTTTAACCCTCGCATGTGTGCGGCGTTTGCCAGCTTCTAATGTGTAGGGGGGGGGGGGTCGGTTGGACCCCCCCCCTTGCCGTTTGGCCCCTGATCGAGCTAGAGCTTCGCGGAAAAAAACGAGCGTGTTGCCCGTGACGAGAGGAAGCCGATGATACCCAATTTTAAGGTCCTAGGTCATTGGTTGACCTTCCAGGTCAGGTCAATGACCCAAAGTCGGGAAAATCGGGACCTGTTAGAAAGTCGTAAAGTGTGGCTGCTAAGGGGTTTTTCGGGATGCTGATCACGAATATCGTGTTAGTTTTGATCACAGATGATGTCTTGAAGCATTTAGACCAGGTCGGGTCAGGTCAGGTCAGGTCAACCAGTAGGCGTCGTGACGGGTATTCGTAGTACGTGTCAACCGCCTCTGACAGCTTCGTAACATGTTACGAAGTCACCAAAACTACTTCGTAAATGTTCAAATGGTTGCTAAATTCGAATTCAGCTCCAAAAACTAGCCTAGAAACATGTAAAACTCGAAAAAGTGACCCGAGGTCACCCGAGGTCACCAAAGGTCAATGACCTGACCTGACCTTCAGGTGACCTTGACACACACGGGAGTAACATCAAATCACATGTTTGAACGTTTGAAACCACGAAAAGCTTGCAAACACGCGGCTAGTGCGAGCCGACATACGCGAAATCGCGATTCCGGCCAAACATGGTCTCGGAAAAGAGGTCACAGGTCAAAGGTCATTTGGGTCAGGGTCATGAAATTTTCAGGGTAGGTGTAAAATTGATCAATGCGAGGGTACTGAAAGTTTCGTCGCGATCGGCCGCTTTTTACGCGAGTTATTCGCGAAAAACCATGGGGGGGGGTCCATCCGACCCCCCCCCCCCCCTACACATGCGAGGGTTAATTATCAACCGATCCAGAAAGCATCTGAAGCTGCTGGGAAAGTCTCAAAATTCCCAATCTGCCCGGAAAAGTCTCAAAATTCCCTTTCTCTCTCCCTCTCTCTCTCTCTCTCTCTCTCTCTCTCTCTCTCTCTCTCTCCCTCTCTCTCTCTCTCTCTCTCTCTCTCTCTCTCTCGCCGCCAGCATCGCTCTTCCTCTGTATGTTGTCGAAGATGACATCGTTCCTTGTGCAGCGTCCATTCATCTATCGTTCTTGACTGGGCTGTTCCGCGGGTGAGAGTAAGTTTCTGGTCGGCCAGCTCGTCGGCCGCCTTTCAATCATCAGCTGCTCGGGATATGGCAACAGCAGCCAGACGGAGCGGGCTGCCGGTGTCGGAGCAGACGGAGCGGGCTGAGGGCTGCCGGTGACGGAGCAGACTGCCGGTGACGGAGCAGACGGAGCGGGCTGACCAGACGGAGCGGGCTGACCAGGCGGGGCAGACTGCCGGGGATTGAGCGGGCGGGGCGGAGTTGCGCTGACGCGGACTGACTGGCCGGACTGGCCGGACTGACTGGCCGGACTGGCCGGACTGACTGGCCGGACTGACTGGCCGGACTGGCCAGACTGACTGGCCGGCTCCTAAGGGTGGTCCGGCTGCTCTGCTCCCCGCTGTTGGCTCACGGAGACTCGGACTCCCCAACTCTGACTCCTGTTCTGCCCTCGGCTTCGGCTGTGGCTTTGACTTTGGCTCTGAGATTCCGGCTCCGACTCCTGTGCTGACTTCGGCCATGTGTCCTGCTTTGACTCCGGCTGCGACTCCGGCTGCGACTCCAGCTCTGAATTTGGCTCTGACTCCGACTGGCGACTCCTGCTCTGACTCCTGCTGCGACTCTGGCTCTGACTCCAGCTCCGGTAACGGCTCCGGCGTTCACAGGCTACTGGATAGCACTGGATAGCATGTCGTCCTTCAGTAATCAGTGCAAATGTAAAGTGGCATACTGAATAAAAAACATTAAAAAATGAATCAGGCAAACTTTGAAGTGTATCCCTAACTCGACTGACTTCTGAGCAAAGACGTGTAATTGATATCGCGATCGGAAGCTTTTGTGGTCTTATAGCAAAGCCGTCAATCAGAATTTTTATTTCTTTAAAAATTACTCACTTCTTCCAATTTTTCAACTGCTTGAAACTACGTGCAATGTTCGGAAACGGATTCAAGTGAAAAATTGTGTCGGCAATAGACCTCTTCTTTTAAAACTGCCAAACAGCCACTGACGAAACCAATAAAGACATAACATCTCTAAGCATGGGAAACGTAAATTTTTGGGCATTTTCACCCTTGAAAGAAAACATTGCTAGATTAAGTTTTTAGCATAATAATGAAGTTTACGACCGGGAAGGCCGAAAGACGTTCACCTTGAAAAAGGAACACTTCACATCACCACCACCAGCTGATCCCTTTACCCCTGCCCCCCTTTTAAACCCTTACCCAGTTACGTTCTCTGCAGAGCATATCAGCAACTAAGAGGATTAAAAAGTTGCAGTAAGTTTCGAAGGTTAGTTTGACAAGCACGCCCAAGGCTTTCCGTATCATACAGAAGATATGTAGATGTCAGATGTCCTACAGAGTCTGTCGGCGTCACCATACGGCTGCGATACACTCCAAGCACAGGTTGTCAGACAGAGGGGATATTCTGTGCTCCGCTCAGCTCTGGCCGACCAATATCGGCGGCCAGATAGATCACGAGTGGGAGGTCCCGGATCGGCCGCGAAATAAATCACAGAACGGGGGCGTCACACCGAAACCCACCGCGCCGGCGCAGCGAGTTTACATTGGTACAGCGGGAACCGCACCGGCCCGGCTACAGCAACAGCAGAGCTGGGAGCGGCTGGAGCGCAGCCGGCCGCGCTGCTCTTCACAGCGGTGTGCAACAGTTCGCACCTACTATAGGTGACCACCAGTCCCCGCAGCGGTTTCAGCAGCGCGGCGGTCCCAGCAGCGGTCACAGCAGCGGTCCCACGGGGGTGAGGAGCTGTGCCCAGTCGGTGACCCGTCCGACGATCCGGGGCTGAGTTGTAACACGGCACACAGCCCCCCCCCTCCCCCGCAGCTGTCGCCGATTCTGGCGCGGCTCCACGGGACGGCCGTTCCGGCGCGGCAGTGCGCCACGTTCGCCGCGGCTGGCGCGGCTCCACCGGCGTCGGTTTCGGTGTGGGCCGCGCGTCTGTCCGCGCTGGTTACGGCCCCGATCGGGCGGGGGGGGGGGGAGAGGAGGAGGGGACGGAAAGGAGGAATGGGGGAGGGGAGAAACGCCGTCAGCCCCGCCGGCCTTCTGACGGCCGCAGCTCTGCCCCGCAACGACACCGTCAGCCGGGTCATTTAACTTGTTCAACAGGCCTGTATAGTTACAGGCAGCCGACACGGCTCTGTTAGCCGGGATGCCCCCCCCCCCCCCCACCGTCACCCCCCGCCAGCTGACGGGCCACTCTGTCCACGATCTCGACCCAGACAGCCGACCGGCCGGGCCGCGAGCTACAGCCCGCCAACAGCGCCCCGAGAAGATGCCAGGTTTTTACTTTTGTCGTAAGTTAAGGGCCTGCGTTCTTTGGGTGGGGGGGGGGGGCGGGTAGCTCTATCCAGTGTTCTAAAATTGGATATTGGTTGGGTGTGCCGATGAAGAAAAAAAATCATAGGATGAGAAAAAAGAAAGTAAATAACTGCAGTATTTTTGCAAAATGGTGTAATGCCAATTTTTATGCTAACTGATAAACCAGGATTTCATGTCAGGATCTTGACAGGGTGTGGAACAAAAGGATGTGGGTGCATCAACTGTCAAGTGACAAGTGAACTGGCTGTTGGGAATACATGAAACTATTTTCAGAGATGAAGTAAAGTCGGTCATTCATATTTTAGGGATGAAAATATTTTCCCCATTAGGTGTGATTTGCCACCAAAAAGGCTGAAAAATGAAACACTGGCTCTATCCCATCAACCCCGTAATTGGCTGCTCTTCGTGTATCTAGGTGACTGTCGTGGCACGTGCCACGTGAAAAGTCAGGGATATTTAAGCTGTTTTGCAGAATTGACGATTTTGAGAGGCCTATATCTCAGCAACCACTTGGCCAAGTGCATGCGGTATTTTTTTTTAGAGTACCTAGTTAGTAGTTACATTACATCCCTGATCCCCTTCTCCCAGACATTTTATGCTCACAATGCATCTGGGTCGCCCGCTTTGCACGTGCGAAATGCAAAAAAGAGAGGTGTCAAATTTGTTCCTATTACATGGCCTTGCCTATTGCAATAACTCGGGAAATACTGGGGCGATTCCGCCGAAACTTGGTATACGCAGATAGGCATCTATAAGGCATTGCATTTCTTTGTGTAACGGTTAGTGTGCAACTGCACGCACGCACGTGCAGGGGGCGCTTCCAGATCTCGAAAACGGCTGGGCCGATTGCGCTCAAATTTGGTACACGATTTGGAACCGGTTAGAAGGGTACAGTGCACAAGTCCGATGAGACTCAATTTGCACGTGCGCGCCTGCAGGGCGACATTTCCAGCTGGGCCGATTGCGCTGAAATTTGGCACAATTCTTTAGACCGGTAGCACCAGCCTATTGTTGTAACTATACAATACACAATACACATGTTACCACACGTCTTAAACTGCTGAAATTACCCCGCTTTGTAGAATGGGCCCAGGAGAGGCTGGTCCGCGAGCGTTACAACACTCGAATCAATAGCGTGCCTGCGCTTTGCTCGGTCAGTCGGTCTGTAACATGCACAAATTGCACATTATGATATGGTTCTTGGCGGCATTTGGCTGGCTGCGAGGGAGCCGGTAGCAGTTTACCGGTTAGCATATTGCTGCAAAGAAGAGCTGGTTTATTCACTGGCGATCTTCGACCTTGAGCCATACAATTTGAAGATATTGAGTCCGTTTGGAGACGTCTGCAAGAAATGCCCACATTTCCCAAACAGACACATGTCGACACGAGAAGTTTACGGCAACGTCAGGTGGCTTGTATGCTCTGGGTACGCCCATCTACATCGGTCGGGCCCGGCCGGGGGAGCGCACACCAGCCCCATCGGCGGCGCTTTCTGCCGGCGTCCATTAAACGCGGCCGCCGCACGTAGCAGCGCCGATTGTGGAGGGCCAGAAGAGCCACTCCTGGGCATCAAATCAGGCCGGCCGCGCCGCCAAAGGAGCTCTTTGTTCGCGGACCGCTGGGCCCGGAGAACTTTTACCGTGTGACGTGCTTGCAAGATTAGGCACATCTCTCGAAAGGCCTCTGCGTCGCACATACCGATATGCTTCTGACTGTAGTTATGTGGCCTCTTGTTATAATTGTTTAGTCCAAAAATATGCATGTCCTGATTAAAATCTACGCTTATAAAAACTCTTAGTGTTGACGCTATAAATAGCACGGTACAAATAGCACGCTACGAATAGCAGGCCGCTGCTTGGAACGCGTGGCAGCCGACCACGGTGGGCTCACTTGTTCGACCGAGGCCCGGTGGCCCTGTTGGATGTGCTGTGTGCGTCTGTATGTGCTATACCTGTACGTGCCTATCGCAGACTGGGGTTTTATAAAATGGCGCATCATTTACCACAAATCACCGCAGCGGTGCTCATTAGGAGCCAATAGACCGACAGGCGATCGATCAGCCTTTGAATACTGTCGGTAGCGTTAGTGACCGCCGCTCGCCGATAAGCGGCTCATCCATCCAACGGCAGGCCGTGACAGAGCCCGTGAACGGTACAGAGCCCGTGAACGCTGCACAGTGGGTCGTGAGGGGAGGTCACAGGCCGTGAGGGGCGGTCACAGGCCGCGAGGGCCGGTATCAGGCCGTGAGGGGCGCTCAGAGCCCATGAGGGGGCTGTGAGAGCGGCAGTGGGCGCAGCCGGTCCCCCGATACGGCGGGCGGTGGGCGCAGCCGGGCCCCCCGATACGGTGGGCGGCGGGCGCAGCCGGTCTCCCAGCTGCCGGCTCTCAGAGGTGACCGGCTCCGATTACCCGATGCTAATGGCGCGCGGAAATGATACGGGCCGACGCCGCGACATACGCTCACTGCTCACTGCACATCGGCGGACATACCAGTCCCGCTCTGCGCGCACAGACAGGCCAGCAGTCGTGGGCACAGACACAGCCCCTCCTGGGACAGACAGACACAGAGCAGCGGGTGTTAGTTGTTAGTCCGCCACAGACCAGCGGGCGTTAGTTGTAAGCTGCCAGAGGCCAGTGGGAGCTAGTTGTAAGCTGCCAGAGGCCAGTGGGAGCTAGTTGTAAGCTGCCACAGAGTGGCCGTGTCACCATGGTTCTGCCATTGACCATTGCTAGTCGTGCATATACTGTTCAGTGGGCGTTAGTAACCGGTCTACTACTGTCCAGTGGGCGTTAGTTACCGGACTGCACTGTCCAGTGGGCGTTAGTTGCTGGTCTACCACTGCCCAGTGGGCGTTAGTCTGACTCAGACCATTAGGAGTGAGTCTGCCACACACTACTGTCCAGTGTCGTTCAGCCTGCCGCCGGGGCGGCGCCACTCACTCATCGGCGAGCTCTCGTCCTTCATCATGCCCAGTGTGACGGAGGCGGTGCTGAGCGCGTACTGCTGGGGGAAGGTGAGCCGCCGGTTGATCTCGCCCAGCGGCATCACCAGGCTGCGCCAGTAGCCGCGCACGAAGCTGCTGCGCGGGATGACGGCGCCGATCCGCGGCGCCTGCCGCTCCGTCCAGTCGCCGCCGTCCGCGGTCTGCGCGCGGCCGGCCGCCAGCAGCAGCCCCAGCAGCAGCAGCGGCGGCAGCGGCAGCGGCAGCCGCGGCGGCATGGCCGGCACCGCCGTCCGCCGCAGAGGGTCGGCACCGCCGTCCGCCGCAGAGGGCCCCGGCACCGCCGCAGAGCCGCAGAGAGCCGGCACCGCCGTCCGCCGCAGAGGGCCGGCACCGCCGTCCGCTGCGCGCCACTGGCCTCTCGGTACACCTGGCTCTGGACCACGCCGCCGAGGACAGAACACTCGTTGGCCAGACAACGGGCAGCGCAACGACCAGATGTTCTTGTGTTGTTTAAAGCAAAGTCCTCTTCGTTCATCAATTCTGAAGCAAATCACCACGCATTTAGTCACACAGAAATATTAACTGCCAACTATGATATCGGCGTCATATTGACACCTCCACGAAATGCTTTGCACACATGTTTACACGTTAGCACAACTGTACAGCACAGATCAGGGGCTCAGATACAGCATTAATTTAACTCGGCCGTATCTGGACAGTCAGAGTCCCCCGACCCGACCGGCGTCCAAAGTCGACCCCGCCCAGTGGCAGACGCCTAGCAGCCTCTGTAGCAAAAACGAGGTACGGTCCGTGCCGCCTCTCTCTCTCTCTCTCTCTCTCTCTCTCTCTCTCTCTCTCTCTCTCTCTCTCTCTCACTCTGTCTCTCTAAGGTAGCGGATCTCATATCCCACAGATCTGCTGGGAGCAGCGCCACGCCACCGCCCGGCGCCGTTTGACAGGCGGGACGCCGACAGCGAACTGACAGAAGAAGCCGCTGACCAGAGCTGAAGAAGCCGCGGCAGATACGAGCGGAGTCGTCCGTCCTATCCATTGAGGTGCGTGCCACGCGCCCGTGGGCCAGGCAGACCGTTAGCGTGGCCCTCTGACCTATAGGTACAGGCCGGCAGGCGCTGAGCCGGCGCGGAGCTCCGCTGGCCACCGTTGCAGCCTGCAGGGCTGCAACTGCAGCCGTCATCGGCACTTTGGCTCTGTTTCAGTAGACCGAACAGAACCTAGCTCAACAAGGCAGGCGAGACGAGGGACAGGAGCGGCGGGCGCCGGTCGGCCGTCCCTGTCGGATATCTGCTGGATATCGGACCGGCCGTCCCAGTCGGATATCTATAGGATATCGGACCGGCCGTTCCAGTCGGATATCTACTGGATATCGCACCGGGCGCCCCAGCCAGCTCGCCGCTGCCAGGGCCTGTCCGACTGGGGTGTCCGAGAAAGGCCGACACACGTATAGCCGTGTCCCGGACACAGTAGCCGTGTCCCGGACACAGTAGCCGTGTCCCGGACACAGTCCTTCCCTGACCTCGAACAAGGCAGCCTGGCCTCGGACACCCCCTCCAGCTTGGTCTGGGACAAAGCCCTCCAGCCCGGCCCCTCCCACTAAGAAATGCACCCGGCATTCTTCAGCGGTAACCTAATGACGAGAAATGAGCGAGAGGTTGTCGGACGCAGGCCGGGCCGGGGGGGGGGGGGGCTGATCAGACCGGGAGGGAGGAGAGGGGACGAGAGGTGAGCGCGCCGCACATGACAAGCAGACTCGGCCGGATGGATGAGCGCGCCGCGTCGCCGCCCACCGAGCCGCGCCCACACCGGGCTGGCGGCGACGACAGGCGACAGCCCGGTCAGAACCGAGCGACATCTGGCCACAACTGAGCGACAGCGCGATCAGAACCGAGCGACAGCCCAGTCAGAACCGAGCGACAGCCGGGTCAGAACCGAGCGACAGCGCGGGTCAGAACCGAGCGACAGTCCGGTCAGAACCGAGCGACAGTCGGGTCAGAACCGAGCGACAGCCAGGTCAGTGGTCAGAACCGAGCGACATCTGGTCACAACTGAGCAACAGCCCGGTCAGAACCGAGCAACAGCCAGGTCAGAGCCGACAGATACTGCAGGTCACAGCCGACCAAAACTCAGACCGAAACTCACAACTGACCGATACTGAGGGCCAAAACTGACCGATACTGAGGGCCAAAACTGACCGACGATGCCGGGCGAAAGTGACCAAAGCCCAACGCCAGCACTGATCACCGGTGACCAGACATGTGGACGAGAACTGTGTCTTATGTAACCACGTCAACCGACTGAGCGAGGCGAGTGTTACCGCAGTGTTGCACTGTGTCGGTGCTGGCCCCTGTTGTGGAGGTGTGACTGGTGGGTGGGATGACCGCCAGGCACGGCTGGCTGCGACACCCAGGCCGTCGGACCCGGCACCGGGCAGGTCTCACACCCGTCTGACCGGGCACCGGGCAGGCCTCACACCCGTCTGAACCGGGCACCGGGCAGGTCTCACACCCGTCTGACCGGGCACCGGGCAGGTCCCACACCCGTCTGACCCGGGTGTGGCAGGTCTCACACCCGTCGGACCCGGCACCCGGCAGGTCTCACACCCGTCGGACCCGGGTGTGACAGGTCGACAGAACTTCGGAACCACATGCGCCACCATCTTAGACGGAGTATTTCTCAGCTGCTAACAGTATTTGACATAGAATGCTTATTTGGTAAATTTTAAAAGGAAACTTGATGAAAACCGGCACACAATTACTATTTCTTTATTGCTAATAACTAAAAGCTCAAAATATTTACTTCGTTGACATGCATATTTTGTGGTCATTTCTCCTATATACATTAAACACAATTCACATACTTCAGATTCTGATTTGCTTGTCATAAAAAATGTACTTTTTGCGTGTTGCAGGAAAAGTCGCAGGGTTTCCTCCGTTGAACGGCCGTGCAGCAGTTCGACTGTTTGACGTCCTGTACAAACAATCTCCGTGGGTTTATCACTGCGCCAGTGTTACCAATCTCCGTGGGTTTATCACTGCACCAGTGCTACCTGCAGCTGTCCGCAGCTGGCGGCGGGCCGGCGCCCAATGAGCTGCCGAGAGTGGTCCGGCTGAGTGCCAACACGACACGGCCGAGTGTCGAACAGGCGCGGCCGAGTGTCAAACCGAGCACTGCCTGGGGTTCCGTTTTGATCGGCCCGGCGGTCGGCGGTCGGAGTCGGAGTCGGAGTCGGCGGTCGGCGGTCGGCGGTCGGCAGTCGGTCGGCCCGAGACCAGCTCTCGGTCCATACCGCCAACACAAACAGCCACCCTTTGGGCCCCGAACACACGAGCAGCCGACACACACTGCCTGGGCTCGGAGGTCGGCGGTGCGCCGCCCGTCAGCACGGCACGGTAAGAACCTACCTACCAAACATGGAACTCCAGAGGCTGTCAGAGGCGCCGCCGGTCAGCCGACGGCACACTGCACACCCAGTCGTAAGCGGACACCGTGTGCTCGATCCACGGGGGGACTGTTTGGCTGTCCTGCCACTGCACTGTCTGAGAACCAGCCGGCGACACAACGCTTCCTTGGACCGATCCCATGGACCGATCCTTACGGTCCTGACCCTGTGTCTGACCGCGGAACCTGACCTGTACCTGACCGCGGAACCTGACCCTGCACCTGACCGCGGAACCTGACCTGTGCCTGACCGCGGAACCTGACTCCGTGCTTTTAGGGTTGGGCAGTTCCACCCCTGGCTATCTCCGATACTGCTGGACCAACTAGAAAAAACAAGGATACCTCGATGGGTCAAGACTAATTTACCAGGTAACTCAGGGACATTGATCTAGTGTTACCGATGACATATCAGATCAAAAAGTACATAGGCGTAGGAACGTTTTCGAAAGTGGGGGGGCCAGGGTCCCAGAGATCCAAAACCTAACCTACCCCCAAAATCCGATTTCTCCTCGGATTTCGGCCACTTTGTTTTCGCATGCAACATGCTCAGAGGTACATGCTCAGAGGTAAAAAAAAAAATAGAGACAAAAAAATGGTTGAAATTTCAGGGAGTCTCCACTCTCCCGTCCATAAACTCAAACTGATGGACGCGTTCCCCTGTCCTCCGCAGCCGTTGGCACCCATGCAAATTCCAGAGGCATCCAGCAACTTTTTCATTACGAGCAAGCGTGAAACGTGCAAAGCGAGTCTTTTCAATATACCTATAAAAATCAGCATGAACGGCCCAGCTAGGCTCAGCCAGGCCTATAACGTTTTAAGAGGTTTTATATCAGCGACCACTGCAACTGGGCTGATTGACTTTCACTTATCAGAGGCCGGTGTGGGACTTTTAGACGGTCTGGGCCTTCAGAGGCCAGTTTAACCCTCCACGGCCCGGTCCTATAGGTTTTCTACATACGCGCTGGCCGAGGGGGCGGGGGGCGGGTACGACCCCCCTCGCCGTTTCGCCCCAGGTGGAGCTAGCGCGTCGCGGTAAAACGAGCGTGTGCGCCGTTACGAGACGCAGAGATCGATACCCGATTTTATGGTCCTAGGTCAACCAGTGACCTCTGACACCGTTCCGTGCTTCTATCCTCAGGATACTGAAATCCTTCTCCTCCACACCGCAACCCCCTCCGGGCTGGACAGGCAACTTTATCTCATGCGGGCTGCTCCCTTGGAGCGGCACCGCTGCTCCCGAGGGAGCGCACCCCGTAGCCGGGTGCAGTGAGTGCCTTGGGGCTGGGTGGCCTGTCCTCTGGACGGGCTCAGCCCCGGCGACTCACTAGGGTGCCTGCCCAGACCAATGTCTCCCCCTATGTATATCCTATCATCCTTCTGACTCTGAAATGGTCTCATTGGACTGAAAGGGCCTAACCCAACAAAACAAACAAAAACCGGTGACCTCTGAGGTCAGGTCAAGTGCCTCAAGGCACGGTTCCGTTTTTGGTGAATAACTTCGCAAAAAATGGCCGCAGAGCCGCGATTTTGCCAGCATCGTGTTCGCCTCTCTCAGGCGCGTCGAATGATATACTTTTTGTTTGGGTGAGGTAAACTTAGGGTGTTGACCTCGGGTCACGGTCAGGTCGGCGTCCCCAGGTCACGAAATTGGTCGAAGGAGGTCATGTCGCATATCATTCGATTCGGCAGGTCTTCTTGAGTCCATAGGTGGCTTTCCCGACTCGCTAGCTCAATTTGATCGGTACCTAGTTATTGACGAAAAACTTATTTCCACACACTTATTTCACACTCTCTTAAACACACTCTTATTTCCAAAGGTACCCATGAACAAAAGGCAACCTTTCATTTGTAGCTAATTTTGAATGAAATTGGGGAAATTGTAGGTAGGGTAGGTGCATAGGTCCGTCCAGAAAAGGCAACCCTGGGATTTACATAATTCTCCACCCCTGTCAAGGTCGCATTAATCATGCAATATGTATATTCACCAGATACACACCCACCTTTTTCGCAAAAAAACTTCTTATATCCATCTCATTTCTAAATTCTACCTGACTCAAACCAGATCTTCATCTTAGTGC